TATTTTACAAGCAAAGTCTGGGATGCAAACGAGCACTTACTCAAGGAGTTTTACGCAAATGACGCCCACATCAAAAAGGGCACTAAAGTGACTAAGGTGCGGAATTTGACAGTGAAGTTCGATGGGAAAACAATTAATGACTACTCGGGCTTTCCTGAGGAAGATGAATCATTATACTTAGAAAAGGTAGCATTGGATGAGGCAGCCCGTCCGTGGTTAGCAGAATACCTGGCACTCCCGGGTACCACCCCAGCATAGTTGACATTAGGAGTTCAAAATTTTGAGAAAAACTTTAAATTTCGAGGCGAAGGGTTGGGAGACTTTTGTATGCAGTAGGCTGGACCCCACTACCAATGAGAACTCTTTGCCAGTCTCATGGACGATATTGGTGGCTTCTATTATGGCAGGGCTCCCAATCAACATCGGAAATGTTATGTCTAGGGTAATCACAAGGGTAGTCAATGAAGGTGATAGATCATACCCCTTCCCAAATTTCCTTACAATATATTTTGAGGACCACGATGTGGAGAAAAGGAAGTTCGATGTGAAGGTGAAACCAAAGATGCCCTTTTCATGGTGATGATAACCCCAAAGCCAAAGATTTTAAAGGTAAAGCCACTACTTCTACTGGCCAGTCTCAAGAGCCAGTAGTAGTCACTTCTTCTTAGCCTCCCATAGCCACACCAGATATTGCCTCTGAACCATTTACTTCCACTGCTCCAGTTATCCCCTCATCCTCAACCTACCCATTGACTGCCCACCGTTTGAGCCAAACACTTGCCAGTATCAACAACTGGATGCAGACAGCTACTTCTAAGTTGTCTATGGTTTCTAGCTCGGTGGCAGCCCAGTCCGTACCCCCACAGCCACAGGTTCCAATTTCAGTGGAGGAGATTCTCAAGGAGCTTATGTATATAGGTGCTCATGGAAAGTCACTTAAGGAGCGGACCAAGGAGACAAAGAAGCTGAGAAAGACTCGAACCTCAAAGGAGTCTGTGAAGGAGTTGAGGGTAGAAGTGGAGAAGATGAAGGCTGCTGATCATCTACCATTGGTTGGACCGACTGTTGCATGACCAGCCTCCAGCAACTCAGACTAAGCAGGAGCAGGAGTTGGAGAGGGCACCAAAGAGGAGGAGAGTGATCCCCCAGACAGATGATGCAAAGATTAAGTTGGAGGACCCGCAGGGAGGTTCCTCTAGCCAGCCTCAGGTCTCAGAGCAGCCTCAGGTCCTAGAGCAGGCACAAGTTACAGGGATCCAGTTATAATTTCCCGAGCAGTCACAGGACCCAGGGACCCCGGCTCATGACCCCATGCAGACGGAGGACCAATAGGGAGTTTTTTTACTCTCTATCTCCTTTTTGAGCTTATTTTTGGCTAGTTAGTATTGAGGACAATGCTAGCTTTCATTTGAGAGGGTAGCCCTATTTTGATGATTTTGGACTGTAATTATGATACTATTTTCCTTTTTGTTATGCTTTTTCACTTTTGGTATGTACATAATTTTACTAGTTTATTTCGCTTTTCGTATTTTGCAACCTTGGTTTGTATAAAAAGTTACTTTCTAATGTATATATTCATTCCCTCTTATGTATATTCATTTAAATCCCCTATTGTACATATTTAGTTTACCTTCCGCATTTTCTTTCATAGCTTCTTACTTCATTTTAGTAGCTTCTTTTTTCAGTTCATAGCTTCTTATTTTGAGTTTTGCGTTCAATAAGCCTTTGGTTTTTTTAATGCCACGGTTCTTGATATGTCGGAGAATTTTGGCACATTTAATACAAATTGCTTAGATTTTAGATTGTTTTAAATGCAATTATCTTTTATACTTATGTAATTTTAATGTTTTTGAATGTATGAGGTTTAAGGACTTAAGAACATGAAAATGAAATCAAAAAGCCGCAAAAGGACAAGAAAAGAGCAAAATGCGATTGCAGATGTGAAAATGCGGACCGCATAATTCTCAAAGGAATCGCAAAGCCCAACAGTCAGTTGGCCAAATTCAAGCGCAAGAAATACGGTCCATTATGCGACCGCATAACAGGTTTGTGGGCCGCATAATTGATTGCCAACTCTCTATAGAAGTCGCTGAAGGCGGAAAATGCGGTGACAAATGCGATCGCAAATCAATAATGCGGACCGCATAACCTAAATGCGACGAATACTTGGGAACTAGGGTTTCGAAGATGCGATGCCTTTGATGAGAATGCGGACTGCATGTCTATTACGTGACAGAAATGCAGTTGCATAATTGACCTGGAAGGGTATTTTTATCCGAAATTGGTCCCGAGTTTTAGCCCACTATAAATAGAGTTATTGGAGTTTTGTGGGGGCATCTTGTGCGGTTTATGAGCTACATTCCAACCTTTGAATATTCCTCTCTTTTGGAAGCTTTAGGAGTGAAGAATCTTGCACTTTGTAAGCTTTATGGCATTTAATATTCTCATCTTTTTGTATTTTAGCATGAGTAGCTAGCTTTAAATACTAAGGTTGTGGACCCTAATGGGTGTTATATTAATGGGTGTTTAACATTGAATATATATATATATATATATATATATATAATGGTTGGTTGATATATATTTATTTCTCATTCTTCATTTATTGTTGGTGGTTGCAAACATTAATAAGAGCCATTAAACTCTTTCTTTACTTGGAAAAGTAAGTTAGAGTTTGGTAGAAGTAAATATCAAAGACTCAAGGCTTTAAACCTTGTTTAATAGAATCGCTTAGGAATAAGTGGGTTTTATTTGGCATATATTGATTGCTCTTAATTGCAACTCTTTTATATTTTTGGAAAAATCATAAAGAGGAAATACTACCCAACTATTGGAATTTAGAAATCATTTGCATATCTAAAGAACCTTCCATTAGAAATATATCATATTAACACTGATAGCATTACACTTCATTGAAGGGGACACAACCTTGGTTTCCTTAATCAAATTATTTACATTCTCAACATTACAGTTAGTTATTTCTTCAAATCACAATCATATCATACTCTTATTACAATTAACGGAATAGAATTACGACCTAAGTCAAGTAGCACACTACTCGAGTAACCTTTTCACACCTATTCTTTGTGGGAATCGCCCCCAACCTTGTTGGGTTATTATATTTTACACCGACCACCTTACACTATTTAATTAAAGTGTAATTTGAGCGTATCAAATTTTGGCGTCGTTGCCGGGGAATACAGTTTTCAAATTACTAAATAGTGTGTGCTTTACTTTACGTCTTATTCTATTCCATCGCACTTTGCTTGTTTTTCTTGGTGTTGATAGGAAGACATGGCCGAATATGAGGAAGAAATGGAAGAATCCTTTTGCGGACATAGATGAGTACATTGAGGATACAAATGCTATTGTACCTCCGGTTATTAGTGCTGCAACTTTCAAGGTGGAACATGGTTTAATCCTTATGCTCAAAGCGGAGAGGTTTTCAGGAATTCCACTGTTGATGATACAACACAACATCTTAGAAACTTCTTGGGTGTGTGTGCGATGCATAAGCATAGCAACATCTCAGATGATGCCCTAAGGTTGACGGTGTTCAAGTACTCACTAGCTGGGGACGTAAGGAAATGGCTTCAAAATATGCCATTCATTCTTGGCCTGAACTTGTCCATGCATTCTTAGCTAAATGGTTCCTGCAAAGTAAGAAATCTGAGCTCCGGGATAAATTTTTCTTTTTCAAGCAAGTACCGGGAGAACATCTACATGAGGCATGGGACCGATTCAAGTTATATTTGGTGAGGTCTCCCAATCTTGGATTTCCGGATTCTATCTTGTTAGAGAAATTCTACATGGGTTTAAACTCTATGAACCAATCTATAGCCTAGAATGCAGCTGACGGATCTTTTGTGGACAAGACATTCGCAATGGTCACACAAATCCTTGACAAAATGGCACAACATAATCAAGCTTGGCACTCAGAGGATAGCACTGGTGGAATTGCATATGGTTCTCCCTTCTTGACCACCATGATTAAGGAGAATCAAGAAAGAGATCAAGTAATTACAGGGCTTGCCACCAATGTCAATGTGTTGACAAAAATGTTCACTGAAAGCCAAACGAAGAAGGTAAATGTGGTGGAAGATGTTCAACCATCATCAAATGAGGATTATGAGGAAGCCAACTATGTCAACAACTCTCAAAGAGGCTATCAAAGGCAACAATACCAAGTTCAAGGACAACAAAATCAATGGAGGCCTAACCCGCAAGGGCAAGGCAACCAACAGTGGTGAAATGACCAAGGTGGCTCAAATCAAGGAAATTGGAATAACAACAACAACTTCTCAAATCGGAGTTCAAACCGTTATGTTCCTCCAAAGGGTCAATATTCAAATCAAGGTTCCTCAAGTGATTCCAAGTTGGAAAGCATGCTTGAACGGGTATTGCAAAATCAAGAGAAGTCTGACACTTCTATGAGGAATATGACCGAGCTTGTTGGCTCTCAACCGCATCCATTCAAAAATTGGAGATGCAAATGAGAGATCTCTCTAGGGAACAAAATCCAAAGCAAAAGGGAACATTTCCTAGTGACACAATTGCGAACCAAAAGGGTAGTGGGAGTGGTCCAACTTCTCATATCATGGCAATTACTACTCGGAGAGGGAAGGTACTACAAGGAGAAAGTGAACAAGTGGTTGAAATAGAAGAGTCCGAACAAAAGGTTGAGATTGAAGAGCGAAGTGTTGTTGAAGTTGAAAAGGTTCCGGAAGAGTTGAAAGTGCAAGAAGTAAGTCGGGAAGAGGTAAAGGAAAAGGTAAAAGAGACCAAAAACTCTACCACATATTCCTAGACCTCCTCCTTCATTCCCTCAAATACTTGCTAGGAAGGTTGATGATAGAACACTCGAAAAGTTCTATGACATTCTCAAGCAGTTATCGATGAATATTTCATTTGTGGAAGCATTTCAAGAGATGTCGGGTTTTACTAAATATTTGAAAGACTTGATTACCAAGAAGAGAACCACCAAGAATAAAGTGGTGAATATGACTCACCGGGTTAGTTTCATCATTGCAACATCTACCGTTCAAAGGAAAGAAGACCAGGGAGCTTTCACCATTCCATGTACTATTGGGGCACATGATTTTGCAAGAGCCATTTGTGATAATGGGGCTAGTATAAACTTAATGCCTCTTNATGAAGTGGTGAATGTGACTCACCGGGTTAGTTCCATTATTGCAACATCCACCATTCAAAAGAAAGAAGACCCGGGAGCTTTCACCATTCCATGTACTGTTGGGACACATGATTTTGCAAGAGCCCTTTGTGATAATGGGGCTAGCGTCAACTTAATGCCTCTTGCCATTTACAAGCAAGCAGGGTTAGGTATGCCAAGGCCCACAAGTATGAGATTGCAAATGGTCGATCGTTCCATAAAGAGACCGGTGGGAATTGTCGATGATGTGCTTGTAAAAGTGGGAAAGTTTCATTTACCCTCCGATTTCGTAATCCTTGATTGTGTAGTTGACAAAGAGATCCCTATCATTTTGGGGAGACCATTCCTTGCCACAGGAAGAGCACTAATGGATTCGGAACGGAATGAGATCAAATTTCGTGTGAATGATGAAGAAGTTACATTCCAAGCAAGCAAGGGTATGAAACTACCACATGAATATGAAAGCATCTCGGTGATTGATATTGTTGATGAAGTGGAAGATGCAGTTGAAATGAAGATGGAAGAACAATGCCTCGGTGAGGCGTTGGCGGCTATTTTGGTGAACTTCGATGGTGAAGATATGGAGGGGTATATGGAATCAGTCGATGCATTTGGAGGGGCTTGGGTCCTACACTTATGCTCCAGCGAAGCTCTCTCTCGACTTGGAGAATAGAGCCACTCCTCCCGCAAAACCTTCTATTATTGAGCCACCGCAACTAGAGCTCAAACCACTTCCACCACACTTGAGGTATAAATTTCTTGGCTCAAATGATACTTTACCGGTAATCTTTTCTTCTTTGTTGAATGATGTGCAGGTAGGACAATTGTTGGATGTCTTGAAGGAGCATAGGCAAGTTATTGGGTGGACAATTGCGGACATCCGAGAGATTCCCGTCGGAATTTGCGAACACAAGATCCAATTGGAGAATGAGACTAAACCAAGTGTGGAGCATCAATGACGGTTGAACCCGTCCATGCAAGAGGTGGTAAAGAAATAAAACATCAAGTGGTTGGATTTTGGGGTAGTCTACCCCATTGCCGATAGTTCTTGGGTAAGCCCGGTGCAATGTGTGCCGAAAAAGGGAGGCATGACCGTGATTGAAAATGATAAAAATGAGCTCATCCCAACAAGAACGGTGACCGGATGGAGGGTGTGTATTTATCGAAAGCTCAATAGTGCCAAGTGCAAAGACCATTTCCCTATGCCTTTTATTGATCAAATGCTTGATCGGCTAGCGGGAAGGTCATTCTATTTCTTTCTTGATGGATATTCATTCCGATTACAAACAAATCAACATAGCATTGGAGGACCAAGAGAAGACAACATTTACTTGCCCTTATGGAACGTTTGCCTTTAGCCAGATGCCGTTTGATTTGTGCAACGCTCCAGCTACTTTTCAAAGATGCATGATATCCATCTTCTCAGATATGGTGGAGGATTTTCTAGAGGTTTTCATGGACGACTTTTCGGTGGTAGATGACTCTTTTGAGCATTGTCTTAACAATCTTAGACAAGTGCTCAAGAGATGTAAGGAGACCAAACTTGTGCTTAACTGGGAGAAAAGCCACTTCATCATGGATGAAGGCATTGTCTTGGGGCATAAAATTTCAAAACATGCATAGAGGTTGACCAGGAAAAGATAGAGATCATTTCCAAGCTTCCTCCACCTACTTCAGTTAAAGGTGTCCGAAGTTTCTTGGGGCATGCCGGATTCTATAGGCATTTCATCAAGGATTTTTCCAAAATTGCAAATCCCATGTGCAAACTCCTTGAGAAAGATGCAAAATTTGTGTTTGATGAGAAGTGCCTCAATGCCTTTGAGGAATTGAAATAAAAGCTCACCACGGTACTTATTATTGTCTCACCCGATTGGTCTCTTCCATTCGAACTCATGTGTGACTCCAGTGGTGTAGCTATTAGGGCAGTGCTTGGCCAATGTCATAACAAGGTTCTCCACCTGGTCTATTATACAAGCAAGACACTCAATGGCGCGCAAATGAACTATACGGTGATTGAGCAAGAACTTCTTGCCATTGTCTATGCCTTTGAGAAATTCCGGGCATATTGTTGGGATCCAAGGTGATAGTGTACACAGACCATGCGGCTCTTTGCTATCTTATGGCAAAGAAGGATGCAAAGCCTAGGTTGATTCGGTGGGTCCTGTTGCTGCAAGAATTTGACTTCGAAGTCAAAGATAGAAAAGGGACGGAAAATCAAGTGGCGGATCATTTATCAAGGCTTGAAGAGGTAGGGAGACCAAAGGAAGATCTTGAAATCAACGATGCTTTCCTGGATGAACACATATTGGCATTATCTAACACTTTTGCTCCTTGGTACGCCAATATTGCTAACTACTTGGTTAGCGACCTTATTCAGGATGGATTGGAAGCTTATCAGAAGAAGAAGTTTTTGAGAGATTGTTGGCAATACTATTGGGAAGAACCATTCTTGTTCCGTGTTTGTGCTGATAATATCATCAGAAGGTGTGTTCCATAAAAGGAGATTATGCCAATTCTAAAGGCATGCCACGACTCATCGATCGAGGGTCACCATGGGGGTAATCGAACGGCGGCAAAGGTGCTTGAATGTGGTTTTTATTGGCCGTCGATTTATCATGATGCCAATCAAATGGTCAAGGCTTGTGACCAATGTCAAAGGCAAGGATCAATCTCCAAGAGGCATGAAATGCCAATGCACTTTATGATGGAGATAGAGATCTTTGATGTGTAGGGAATTGATTTTATGGGCCCCTTTGTAAGCTCTTATGGTATGAAATACATCTTGGTGGTTGTGGACTATGTGTCCAAATGGGTTGAAGCAATTGCCTTACCAAACAACGAGGCAAGGAGTGTGACCACATTCTTAAAGAAAAACACATTCACGCGATTTGGCACTCCTAGAGCCATTCTTAGTGATTGTGGGTCTCATTTCTGTAACAAGGCTTTCACGGGGTTACTAGAGAAATATGGCGTCAAGCATAAGGTGGCCACACCTTATCATCCCCAATCAAGTGGCTAAGTTGAAGTTTCTAACCGGGAGATAAAAAATATTCTAGCAAAGACTGTTAATGCAAACAGGACCGACTGGTCAAGGAAGCTAGATGACGCATTGTGGGCATACTGCACGGCATACAAAACCCCTATTGGCACTTCTCCTTATCGGTTAGTTTTCGGCAAGGCTTGTCATCTACCTACAGAACTGGAGCACAAAGTCATGTGGGCTTTAAAAAGGTTGAACTTGGACTAGGCTGAAGCTGCAAATTTGAGGTTAACACAACTCAATGAAATGGAGGAATTCCGTTTCCATGCATATGAAAGTGCAGTTCTGAAAGGATGAAGTTCGTCCACGACAAAAAGATCTTGAAAAAGGAGTTCAAGTCGGGTGACTTGGTTTTTCTCTTCAACTCAAGGCTCAAATTGTTTCCGGGCAAGCTCAAATCAAAATGGTCCGGTCCGTTTAAGGTGGTAAATGTATCCCCTTTTGGAGCTGTGGAATTAGAATCAGAGGATGGGCTTCGAACCTTCAAAGTAAATGGTCAGCGAGTCAAGCACTACTTGGGCACAGATAGAGAAAAACACTTGGTGGAACTGTTGGCCCTCAAAGATGGTCCATGCCCGACCAATGAGTGAAACCAAAGAAAGGCCAACTTCGTCGTGCCGTGACGTTAAATCAAGCGCTTCATGGGAGGCAACCCATGTGTGGTAACACCCTTTTTGTCCTTTAAATTGTAACGTTTGTTAGATAGATTTAATTGAGCAATTTAAAGTGTGTGTTAGAGTGCAGATAATTTAAAAGATCATAACACAGGGTAAAATTGTGTGTGAAAGGGAAGAAAAGTCACCACGGGAAGTCTGCTACACATATGCGGTCGCATTTTAACTATGCATACCGCATAGTGGTCGCAGACCTAGACAGTTTGTTTTGGAAAATATTGGTGTTAAAAATGCGGCGAGGACGTGCACTTTGCGGATCGCATTTCAGTTATGCGATCGCACAAGTGCACCGCATTATGTCCATGAGCAACTCTAGTTAAAACCACCGCATAACACTTATGCGATCGCATAAGGTGTTATGCGGTGACTTATCCACCGCAAATGTTACAAAGGTAAGTATTCCTACCCCTCGCATATCAAAACCCCCAGCATTCAAACACTTGTAAACAAAAGACAAAAAAAAACGAAAAAAAGGAGAAAGGAAAATGGCTAGTTGAATCGAAAAGAGTAAACAACACCTGTTGAATTCATCTCCAAAGTGTTCTCAATTCTCCATTACTGGTATGTTCTCCTTTCCCGATCTCATCCATGTAAAGTTTAGTTTAAATTTTGTTGAGTTTTTCCTGTTGTTGTTTCCTCTAGTTTTTGTTCCTTTTTCCTCTTTGTATTTGGGGTATCTGCTCGTAACGGGGAGGGGGGGTTCTTGGATAATTAGTTAGGCTCGGGGTGCTAGGTAGTGAAACCGGGGTCACCATTGTAGAGGGTGGAGTTCAAACCGTTGAGGAAGACGACCTTTGCGGTCTGCATTTTTGCCTCATAACAAACCCTAGGTGGCTTGAGGAAGATGACAATTTGTAGAGGCTTTGCGATCGCATAAGTGATATGCGGACTGTAAAGCCACTGCATACCTAAACAGTTTCTCGCCTTTTGTAACATATGATTTGCGGCTAATTTGCGATCGCAAATTCATCTTTGCGGTGGATTTTGCGATCGCATTGTGAGAATGAACTTTCCATACAAATAGTTTTTTGATGGTTATGCGAACCGCATAATGGATGTGCGATCGCAAAACCCATCGCATAACTATAACCTTTCAGCAGACAGAAGTTTGTGATAGGTTTGCGGTCCGCATAGTGGTTATGCGACAGCATAACCTGTCGCATACTTGAATTTCTTTGAACTTTTTTTTCTCCTGATGTCTGCGATGTTGCTCACATTTCATTTCTCTGCAGATATGGCTCCCAAGAAACATATATCTTCTTCCAAGAAAAGGGCCTCCACCAGTCGTCAAGCACAACAAGCCAAACGTTCACGACTGGAATCTACTGCTACACATCCCTCCCAGTCTAATGAGGAAGAGACATTGCTATTATTTGACCTACAAGCTGAGGCAAGAAGGAAAAGAGGAGATGATTTCCAACTCAAGTTTGGGGTCGAAGGCTCTAGGGAGCTGTATAAAGAAGGGCTAACAAAATGGAAAAACCTTGCCGAAAAACAACTGAGTCTAAACGGGCTACAGGAGCAGTACCCTCACATACTGGAGAACATCAAGGCTAGAAACTGGATGTGCTTCACTGAGCTGCCTGATGATTAAAATGAAATAGTGGTTCGTGAATTTTATGCATCTTATGGAGCCTCTAGGACCCCTCACCACAAGTGCAACAAAGTTTTCTATGATACTGTCTTGGTTCGGGGGAAGCAGGTGTTTTGTAGCAGTACACCATAAATGAGTTCTACTTCCCAAATTGGAGATCGGGCATAGTTGAGTATGACACCAAATGGGCCAACAGAGATAATGAGCGTGGTTGGATAGCTTCAGTGATAGCCAAGGGGACCCATGCTTGGATTGACCCTCTGCATAAATTATTCAAGGAAGATCTCACACGAGAGGGTAGATTCTGGCTCAACTTTGTCACCTCTCGATTGATACCATCCCGAAATGAGACTGATATAAGCATTGAGAAAGCTCTTCTCATTGCATGCATTATAACTGGGATAAAAATTGATGTGGGTGACTTTATCTTTCGAGAGTTAGGGATCCGGTTCAACCAGACAGCCATGTCACTTCCATTCCCGTGCTTGATCATAACCCTCTGTAAAGTTGTAGAAGTCCCTTCAAATGCCACACACTAACAAGACAGGGAAAGCGTTGAAGGATATTGATATCACGCGCATTAATGACGCGGTAGTTGTTGCTCCCCCAGAGGTTCAGACCCCAATTACAGCTGATATAGAGATCTCAGAC